ACGAACGGTAAGCTTATTTACCTTGTGATTAGCTGTGTAACTGACGGAACGTACGGATGAATAAACGTATAGATAAACTAAAATTGTTTGTCAGTTTGATAATACAAACGTTTTTGTGTTACATGTACCAGTATGATATAAATATATGCATATGTTCAGGTGTGTTTTTATTGATTCCTTTTAATTAACTTATAATGAATGAAAATTAATCCATATTATATTAAAGCATTGGCAGACCAGAGGGGGGTTCCGGGGGTTTGAACCCACACTTATTTTTGGAGACAGAGAGAGAGAAATAGATTTTCTGTAATAGATATTTATACGTCTAATCATCATGATCATTTGATAAAAAAAATCGCTGTCTCTTCTGCTCGCTAGATCTGTAGATTATTTGCTTTCCTCCGTGTACCTTCACAACCCCGTCGAAGGGCTCCTAACATCCACAAGTAACATGCAAGGAAGATTCCATCAAACTCTGGCTATACCATTTTTGGACCATCTTCAGAAGTAACTAACTTTTAGAAGTATGCATATTAAATATTTTTAATCAATATAGATAAATGTTAAAATGTTTCTGTAGTATGCAGAAGGAGGGGGCTCATGTTTTCTGAGAATAATCATTTGCTGCAGTTAAAAAAAAAAATTTTTTTTGGAAGCTCCTTCCACATTTTTTGTTTCTGGAAAATACGCAGATTCAAGATTGAAAGTAATGTACCGAACAGAAAAATGACACGAAGCCCCCTCTACCCCCCTGTATGTTTTTTTGTTTTGATTATGTTTGTATGTTGTTTTTTTTTTTTGGTCAATATTTTTGGAGCCCCCCCCCCCTCTTTTTTATAAATGAAGCTACGGACTTGAAGTGGCCATGGTGTGACTCTATGCATGAGTGCAGGGTACATCGACCTGGACCCCCCCCCCTTTTTTTTATTACGATAAATTATAAATGTTTTATATATGACACGCCAAATTCACAAAAATAAGCTACAAATAGTTTCACAGTCGATAAACTAGGTTTATCGGTTGTAAACTATAGTTTACGGACTGTAAACTATAGTTAACAAGTTGAACGTTAATCTATATTTTACATCTGTAAACCATAGTTTACGCAATAATGTACGTTTTACAAATCGTAAACTAAACACTGAAAACAATCATCTGCGGTTGCAGAACATAGATTATCTGATAAATACAGTTTCACGATTTGTAAACTATGGTTTACAGCTCTTAAGTATAGTTCACGATCTGATTACTATAATTTCACGATTTGTGAAACTATGATTAACAACTTTTAGTTCACGATTGAAATTATAGTTTACGGACGTGAATCTATGTTTATCAACAAAATCTATCGTTAACGTTTTTTTAAAGACAAATAAACTTAGATTAGCATTCGTAAACTAAAGTTAACAACTGTTAAATATAGTTTTACAGATGAAAACTATAGTTAACCAATTGTTTACTGTAGTTTACAGTTGATATATCTAGTTTATGAAGTGTGAAACTATGTTTAGCTCATTTTTGTGAATTTGGCGTGCCATACTTATAGGTTGTAACAATTATCAATACCACGCTTTGAAAGAGCTGAGAACAATTTAACAATAGATGATCATATCTAACTAGGAAGTGGAGAAATATGTACAAGCAGTTAAACTGTCTAAATATTTATTCAGCGGCGGATCCAGGAATTTCAAAACAAACATGGGGGGGGGGGCGATGTAGAAGACTTGGAAGTCTGAGGGCTGCTTTTAAGCTCCCAGTGGGTCCAGGACAAAGCCCTGGTGGGGATCCAGGGGCAAAGCCCCTGGAAACTGAGGAACTCTATAAGAAATTAGAGGTGTTTTCTTGTTGATTTGAAGATAATACAAACAAAATGAAAGAATTAAATGGGGAAGGGTGTGCACGCCCGGCGCGCCGGTGCTGGGTCCACCTTTAAAATAATTACAAATATAAAGCAAGCGATGGTATTTATAAACTAGTAATACGGTTAATATCGTCGAGATACGTTCGTTCGTTGCGTGTTTGGTGTTCTCTAATAGTACTAGTATCATTTCTTATGTTTTAGGCAAAGAAATTATAATAAATAAATAAATTAATAAAATATATTGTTCTGTTGTACATTGCTTTTGATTGGTGAAAAAATAAGCATTTATGCCTCCTATGAGAAATATCAGCCTGACAGTGCAGTAAAAAATAACCAAACACATAACTGCAGTTGTGTCGATTATGTCATTTACTCGAATGGCACTAAGTAAAATGAATAACAAACCATTAAGGGGGATCACCTGATTTTAAACAAAACAGGATAAAAAATGTACATAAGCGTGTGAAAGGCAATATCTGTGAAAATATTGTTTTTGTCGTTTTTGTCTATAAAGTATAAACATAACCACCACCCCCCCCCCCCTCCCCCTCGTGAAACACAAAAAGATTTGGTTTGAATTTTTGAAATAACAGTCCATATTACCTGTGAAAAAGAATTTTTGTTTCACGGGGGGGGGTAAAAGTATTTTCCGTTAATTTCCATTGTAGAAAACACAAGTTTTATTAAATTTTTATAGTTATCTTTCTTTGCTTTCCCAGATAACAAAAGTAAAAGTTTTGTTATTTGTAATTTTCAAAAGTTCTATGAAAATTCATATAATTATCTAAAAAAATATATATAAAAAATCCTTTGAATTTGTTCACTTTTGCGGTAAGCGGGAGTACAATATATGTTCAAATATTATGTTCTATAAAAATGATCAAATGTTTATGTACTCTTAAGAAAGAGAAGGCATATTTCAATAAATTTTGAAACTTTTTGGGGGTCGTCTTGGGAGTAGTGTTTTGTTATATGTATTTTATTGATCAGTCAGACTAATACCCGCCCTTACTATTTCACTTCTAACAAAGTGAAATAGTGGGGACTGGCTTTATTCAGACTGTTTTATTGATAAACTTATATGTTAAGAAAAAGACACCGGACTAGAAAAACTTAACATGTACTTACAACGGACGTTTTGCTTATAAATTGCGATTTCTTAAGTCTGTTATCAAGAATAGGCTGTCAGTTGCTTAACGCATGTAAAATTAAGTTTTTCTTCATATTTCAAAACAAAAGGACCATTTTGATAAATTTTACATAATAAATATTTAATTTTCAAGCTGACGATCATGACTTCAACATTCGGTATGTGAGTGCCAACCAAAACTTCTCGAAATGTATTATGGATATCAAATACATTAATCTTTGTGTGGAATACTGAATGTTGTATCTGTTCCCTAAAACGTAAATTTAACCTCGAAATTCGTCAAAAATGTCATATTTTATGCATTTTGTATAAATATTTGTATGTTTGTAATGACAACGGACGGATATTATCATAACCTTGTCTGTATTTTCATGACAACGAGCCATTTTCAGTGCTTAACTTTAAAGGTTTCTGACAACGGTACTGTCTTGGAACTTAACATGTTCCTGGCCGTGACCTAGGGCCTGACAAAGGAAAGAACGCACATTGTAAATGATTTTAATGATGAGGATGACGATATGAGTGGTACGTGACGTAGAAATACGTTGAAAAACAAATGATTTATTACGAATAGCACTTTGCTACATAAAACATACTAAAATACACTAATAAATTAAATACATGATACCTCAAATAATATTATACATAAAACATAACACATCCTAAAATTATGATGTACATGTACTAAAAAAAATAATAGCGTCTGCAGATTCAGTTAAGTAAGATTGCTGATAAAAAGTGACTCTTGATTAACACTGAACAAGATAGGAAAACATGGACCATAAGGATTTTTTTACCCATAACATAATAAATGTTAACATATTCAGCAATACATGTATTACATAAATGTCAATAACTTTTAAAATACAGATTGCATCATAAATAGTGAAATTGAATATTAGTGCAAAGGTATACTAAATCATAAAAACCTTTTACTGAGATTATAGTTAAATGAATAATAATGCACAATTTACCGAGATGAACAAAATTAAGGCACAGTAAATACAACTAACCGATTAAAAATAGATACAAACGTGAATCTATGTTTATCAACAAAATCTATTGTTAACGCTTTATTCAGACAGATAAACTTAGATTAGCATACGTAAACTATAGTTAACGACCGTTAAATATAGTTTTACAGATGAAAACTATACTTAACGAATCGTTAACTATAGTTTACGATCAATTGTGAAACTAGGTTTTGCTCATTTTTGTGAATGTGGCGTGCCATAAATAGTCGTTCGTGTTCATGTGAACTTATTTGACTTTCCCCCATATTATATTTTGAAATATTTGAGGTATTTATTGGCAAGCAGTTTTGATCCAAAGCTTAAATGGTGGCCACAAGGGGGTGTATAAATGGGACTTTACCCCAAATTACCTGAATTCTGGTGGAATTCTGTTAAATTTGAGGTACTTTTCACTGTGCAAAACATAAAGCACAATCTTGCCCATCTTAGATTATTTATACACAAGATGCATTTAATTCTTGTACATGTATATAGAATATATAAATTAGGTAAATAGGCAATCTCTATATTGTCTGAAACAAAAGATGCCGTAAAATCAAAGAAAATTGATTAAAAAAAAAAAAAAAAAATCGAAATTGACATATTTTCTCACCTTCCTGGGATCTCTATGTAACCCATAATTTAGAGTCAATTACTCATTTTGTGGCAGATGTGACAACAAGGTTTTATCGATAAACTGTGCATCATCTTAAAAGACCCCCCGAATCAGGGACCAAAAGGGAGCATTACCATAGACCATTATGTGAAATGCGAATCAAATCATTTAGATTTAAACCCTACCAATCTCATCAACACCCAGATTGGCCCAATAACATATAAGAATCGAAATATACTTAGTAACAGCATAATATAGTTTTCATTGTTTTTTTTTTTTTTTTTTTTTTTTTGTTGATTTAGACTGAATGACCCACTTCTCAAATATATTTATATATTAAATTTTGTTTTTATTTTTTGATTCACAAATTAAAATTCACCTTTTCTTTCTTTTTTGCCAATATTCTTATCTTCATTTTGTGTAGTTTAAAGGAGGTATTTTCTTATATGTATTCTTCTTCACTCCACCAAGTTGAAATGTTGTTGTCTTTAGGATTTTCTTGCTTATCGCACCCCTCTAAAGAGTTTACAATGAATGATATTAATGATATTAAAACTCAAATGAAAATGTAAAATACATTTTCAGTTAAATATTGCAAATGTGAATTAGAAAAAAAAAAAGCAAACTTGAATTTTTTTCTATCTAAAGCAAAAAATGTTTAATGAGTCTTGTTCGAGTATATATTTTTAATTTGGCTATATTTATTTTAAAACAAATAATAATACTTGTCAGATAGCCCTTGTTTGCATCTTTGTGTTATGTATATAATTATCTATCTGATAAATTTCAGTGAATTTACTGAAATTATAGTGTGTCTTTGTATTTGGACTTTCTGAAGTGATAACCATATAGTCCTGTATTGTGTAAAAAGTAAATGTACAATTGTCTCATATACCTAACTCTCAGGAATAACTAATCACATACTCCTATTCCTGTACTTAAGGAATCATCTAGTTAGGAGAGTATGCCAGGGCATCAACAATAGTGGGAAACATGGGATAATTTGCATAAAATGGTAGATTTAAACTTTAAAAATGTATACATAGACTTAAATAACACGAGGACTTCCATGTCAATTTCAATAATCCTCACCCAATGACATCAAGCACCTAGGCAGCCGCACGAGATTTACATGCACATTTTGCCTCCTTAGCGTCAGACACAGAGACAGATGCGCACGAGTTTTGTATGCATTTTAGGCCTCCTTAGCTCCTGACTTATCGACCTGCCTAATTTACATTCCGGCAGAATTATCAAGAAATAAACTCTGACAACTTTCAAAGAGTTATCGCAGAGAAAAAAATTAGACATGGAAATATATATAAATCAACGCAGGTATCTACATATCTAATTACAAAGGCATTTCAGAGAGATTCTGTCTGTACATTTGAGTAAATATTCTGATTTATTAATCAAATTACCTTCTAGATTGGCCTGCTGTCCTCTTATGTAATACCTGTATACAAATACCTCATTGCTGTTTTTTATCCCAACCCAAAGAAGATGAGATTTGCTATCATAAACCACGCTCTCGGGTATTTTTATTCCTTTTTGGTCTATCGGTATCAATGTCAGAAATCCCCCATCTTTGTCAAGCATCTGTACCGTTCTGGTCCAACAATCACACACCAGAATGTGTGACAGCTCATCAGTGCAGATATTTCCTGGTTCAAATCCGGATGGATGTCCTTTGTAGGAGAATCGATGCCTTCCTTCACGATCTGTCACCACTACGGCATTTAGGTGTAAATCTGACACAATAATATCTTCATTGCGATTTTCTGTGATGTAAAAAGGTTTACAATACAGTTTCTGTCCCTCTGTTGTATTTTGTATAGTCTGTATGAGATGTCCAAATTCATTATATCTCGTAACCTTCGCGTATGTATGTACAACAGTATAACACATTCCGACTAGCAAGTTTGCATTGATGAGGGAGCAGAACACACAGCGTGGTTCCCATGGCTTTGTGAACTGTACCAATGTAGACTTCGTTTTATTATCTTTCGATTGTTTGCAGATGTTAAGTTTCCTGTCTATATATATAAGATCACCAGTAATGTTCACTGTGTGTCCTCCCCATACAGCACCTTTATCTGGCAGATAATTTAGTTTTTCTCCTTTAGTGTTTATCAAAATGAAATTACTTTTTCCACTTATCCAGACCCGATCTGGTTTGACAAAGGAAATGTGATTTACACTTTCAATATCTGTAACTCTGAAATGTGTGTATAACCGGGGTGAAGAAATCGCTGTTCGCACAATTTCATTGTTTAATTTTCTATTTTTACTGATGGTGATTGTTAATTCACACATCAACATTTTCACATCCTCCATTTTGATTTCCTCAGTCAGGAAACGTAAGGACTGATGTGTAATATGAGGGGTGTTTTTCATCATGGGGACAAAGATTTTCTTTTCATCGACATCTTTTCTGGCGAAGAATCTGTATATTTTTCTTATTAGTTCTTTTGATCTATGTATCCAATCATGTTTATTACTTGTCTTAACATCAAAGATGCCAGAATCATTGAAATTCTTTACGTAAGGTAAAGTTGTTTTCTTCAGGAATAAAAGGAATATTACCGGTCTAGATCTCTTTCTTAAGTGTTCAATTTTATGCTCAACCTTTTCTATAAAAGCAATGTAATTGTTCATTTGTCTCTTCTGTTCTTGTAAACTATCAAGGGCTATCTTGAATTTGCTTTTTGCATACTCAAAAGTGCAAATGTGATTCATTACTTTCTGCGTTTTTGTCGACATCTTGGTTCGACAGTTGGCAATCTCTGTGTGACATAGCGTTATATTAGCTTTGATTTCTTTCAGGATAAAAAGGCTGGCAGAGAGATTCTTACTTCTTATGTTTTGAATGATTTCTCTGTGTTGTTGACGGCTTGTTTCATATGCTATTCTGATGTCTAGTATTTGATGTTTTCTATGTAGTATGCATTGGTCACAGACGGGAAGTTGACATGAGTGACAATACGTTTTATAGAACTCTTGCGGATGCCTTTTACACTTTTCTTGTTTGAAAAAGTGTTTATATTTCTCACGGTAAATCACAACATAATGGGATATAGAATCTACATGAATCGCGTGATTCTCTTTACACTGTGAACAAAAGTCATGTTTACACTCTGTACAAAAGAATCCTGCGTCCCTGTTGCACTGTGAACACTGTCGTATTTTACACTGGGTGGAAAATCCTATTGTGAATATAAATGGTGTGAGTAATTTTTTGGAAATACAATCTGCTGATATTGATTTAATAACATAATTTGTACAGATATAAATTCTAACAATTTCAATTATTTTAAATACAATATAAAATTGTGCATTGAATTCTGAATCTGATAATCTGAATGTTAATTTACCATTCAGAAGAATAAAAAAATCACACAGGCATAATGGAAGGGTATGGAGATAACGAATCGTATTTAATATCAAAGTCCGTAAAACAATAAACACGTAGGAGCAGAGCAAACACGGATCTCCAAAATATTAGAGGTTGGATCAGGTGACATGGAGTAGTGAGCATCCTCTGCCGACCCGTCAAACTCACCGAGTGCTCCTTGTTATGATCAGGAAATAACGAAAAAAATCCGTCGTCAATTCAGTGTATAAATAATGGACTAACGATAAGTATAAAAAGCGTCAGTCAGCATTTGACTCAATGATAAATTGTATTAGTTTACAAGGTCATTGTCGACCACAGAACTTACAAAATGATGACTTCAAACGAGACTGCTTATATTCTTGTTTCATTAACTTGTTTGTCAATAATTTACCTCCATTTAGAAATTGTTCATACCTTGAGCACATTCTTGCGTATCGAATCAACTAAAAGAGGTAAACTCCGTATGCAGGTGATGAAGGTAAATTGCTGCATAAGTAAGTAAAGTTGACGATAGAAAAGTTAAAGCCATCACGTTTATCTTAGAGCTTGGTTGTTGGATTACCATTAATATCTTTTTCAAGTAAAATATCCAAGTATGAAACAGATGTGTCAGAGTTATTGGTATCTTTCATCAAGCTCACCAGGATGTATCGTATCGAATAAGGAATGGAAATTACCATTGTTAATTGACAATACATCGTCGAACTGCGAAGCACTTTTATACAAAGTTTGTGAGTAAAATGGTATGAGTTTACACATCGCAAAATTCTGAAAAGAACGTTTAATTCTTATAATTCCAATTACGAATTTATTAAAAAATTATTAAAATTATTTCACTTTGAGGCCTCCATTAAATCACTTATTTATGTACTGCGTATAAGAATACTTATACCGTAAAGAAATATTAAACGTAATCGAGATGGATATCGATAAAATTCAACTAAATTATCAAAACAATCAATAAATAAACATAAAAACTCATCGATTGTTGTTTAGGTCAACAACTATCGTCAATAAGAGTATACTCCAGAATAAATCGTCCTTGACCATTGCCATGTTGACATTAACGACAACGTTCAAAGCGAAAATTGCAGAGTGAAGACGTCCTCAGCTTACTCTGGTTTGTTAAAAGATTGAGGAAAAATATAAGCCTAGGATGTAAAAAAATGAATTTGATACTTCTAAGGCAAGAGTCTGAGGTACGTTTCTTTGCCCTTTCACGTACCTGTACAACGATACCAAATGAGCTCATTTGCTTCGTTTTAGATCGAACGTCGGGCGATTTTAAAAATTCACACTCGTGATACGACAGTGACATAAACATAATATTATCTATTTCGGTCCTGTTTGTCGACAGTTTTGTTTTTATTTTATTTCAAGTTTCTTGTAATCATGATTTGGCTAAACAAATTAGACGTTACCTTTTTCATTTTTTTTTTACAATAGCCTAGAAGCTTGGTCGAGAAAGTAGTTCTGAATCAAAAAACTATCCAGGTGTAACCTTTTTTAGCTTTTTGATCAAAATTTGTCCGTTGTCTGTCGTCGTTGTTGTTGTTGTCGTTGTCGGCGTCGTCGTTGTAAACTTTTCACGTTTTCATTTTCTTCCGAAGAACCACGGGGCTAATTTCACATAAACTTGCTACAAGGTACCTATGGGTGAAGGTAATTCAAGTTTTTTTTTCAAATGAAGGGCCAAGCCCTATGGAGATATTCATGAATTAATGAAAAATTAATAGCATCTTTTAAAAATTTCTTCTCCAGAACCATTGGGACTGGAAAGTTAAAACTCATGTGAAAGCATCCTCCGGTAGTGCAGATACAAGTCTGTTCAAATTATGTCCCCCAGGGGTATGGTGAGGCCATGATGGAGGGTTCAAAGTATAACAAAGGAATACATAGGAAACATCTTTAAAAATCTTCTTCTCCAGAACCACTAGGCCAGGAATGACGAAACCCGTGTGGAAGCATCCTCACACTGAATTGACGACGGATTTTTCCATTATTTCCTGATCATGACAACGAGCACACGGCGGGTGTGACCGGTCTGCAGGGGATGCTCACTCCTCCATGGCACCTGATCTCACCTCTGATGTTTCGGAGGTCCTTGTTTGCTCTGCTCTGATTTTGTATATTGTTTAATGGACTTTGAGATTGAATACTGTACGTTATCTCCATATCCTTCTCAGGTAGTGCAGATTTAAGTTTGTTCAAATTGTGACCCCCAGGGGTAGGATGGTGCAACAATTGGGGGCGTCAAAGTTTAATTTAATTGTGTTATTCTGTACTTTGACGTTCATGTACTACAAATACATGTTTGTACACAATGGTGAATGGAAATCCTTAAGTATTAAATGAACGACTTTTGATGAAACAAACCCAAAAAGCAGAGAAGATGTTCAGAGAATTTATGCATTTTCACTATACAAACATAAGAGCCCCACCCTAACCCTGAAACCCCCAGCCAAGGGCCATGAAATTCACATTTTTGGAAGAGACATTTTGCTAATCATAGCTATGTACTTGGTTAGGTTGTTTGACACTAAGGAGCCGAGAAGATTTACAAAGAATAAAGCATTTTGCTATATAATCAATAGAGCCCCACCATAACACTAGAACCGCTGACCCTGGGGCCATGAAGCAGCCTTATTCAACAAAACTATGCACTTGGTAAATTTAAATCATGCCAAGGGGCAGCGATGAAAAATTTCAAAGAAATATTGCATTTTCACTATATAATCTATATAGCCCTGCCCTCGCACTCGAATCCCTGAATCTGTAGCCACGAATTTCACAATTTTGATAGAGGACTCCATGCTGATTACAATCATTCCAACAAATTGACTGTTTGATGTCTAGGAGTAAAGAAAAAGTTTTTAAAGATTGCATTTTGTGGTTTTAGCTCTAACCTAATCCCCCCCAACAGGCCTCATGGGGACAGGGACCATGAAATTCATTTTTTTTGTTTCCCGTCACCCAAAGATGCTTTGCGCTAAAATTTGTTGAAATTGGTTGGATTGTTGCAGAGAAGAAGCTAAAAATGTTAACGCACGACGCACTAAGCTTACTCAGGTGACCTAAAAATGTACGCATCAATTGATGATTTAAAATACACACCGATAATTGAAAAAAAGGCATGGCAGGTTGACCAAAATTTTGTTTTTATCGACAAAAAGAGCCTCCCTCTATGCAATAGGCTTCCAAAATTATTTTCTTCAATATTGTTTGATTGTTTTGGCTTTGACACTTTTTCTCCGGCTGCCTATATTCTTTAAAAAGCAATGAAGCGACTTTGCCAGATAGCACAGTAAATGATAAAATCAATTTTCAGGAACAGTGTATAAGGTATTGATTGGGATGTTTTTTTGTTCACTTGACAAAACGGTCACATCTTATGAAGTAAAGAACTTCAAGTAAAGAGTAAGGTGTATACCTGTATACAGTATCCTGTTCATCAATGAACATTGATACAATCAACAAAAGAGTGAGTTAACATGAATACCGGTATGACAAAGCCACACGCCATTCTGAATGTACTAAGATAATATTCCATGTGTGATAATGTATTCAAATTCAATCCCCATTTCTTCAAATGTATAAAATTATTATTAACAAAACTTTTGAGACCAAAAAAAAAAAAAAAGAAAAAA